CTTGTCATTCCAACCCCACATTATTTTCTTTCTTCCATTAAAAACGATTGATTTTTGACTTTTTTTGTAGTTTAGCTGTATACAGTAAATCACCATTCAATTTCATTGTGTGAAAAACAAGTCTGGACATTCAGCTTTTGTGTCTCATGGAAGAAGGAAAATAATAAGTGTCATGAGTAAACGATGACACATTTTTTAGGTTTCATAAACATGTCGTTTGAAAATGTAGAAGTACAATGGGACATTGTGTGCGTAGGATAGGGGAATTCTGTCTTAAGGGGAATTATGTACTTAAGTGGACTTGTTTTGCTTGTTTCTTATTCTTAAATGTACTTCCTGGACAGTTAAAATATAATTTTGACAGATTATAGTCACTATTGCCAAACATATTTACCCATAATGCCAGACTTTGTGTAGTTGCCTAAATGTTCACACGCTGTTCCTGCATACAAAATGCAACTCTAATTATGACTTAGTAATATTTTTACTTTCTAGATAAAAGAGATAATTTTTTTTCCCAAAAGCAATAGTTTATGTAACTTGGATAAGAACGAAACTCACTGTGTTGTTCTGTGTAATGCATTAATGTCCACTGAAAACAAACCGAAAGCTTTCTAAAACTGGAAATAATCTGATTTGGCAGTGTACAGTGTTCCTTTAAAAGGGCTTTTCTTTTTCGTTTTAGACCAGTATTACTCAAGACTTAAAATTGGCCTTTCCTTATTGTTCATACTTAAGATTAGGGATTTACATAGATGTCTAACCCTAATATTAAACTTTGGCACATAACTAACAGCCTAACAACAACACGCACAACATCCTATAATTGATCTTCAGAAAATGTAAAAATCAAGTTTTTCAAAATGTGTAACACATACAATACCTATTGTTAAAGCATTCATTTGACCAAAAATTCTGTAAAAACAGTCATATAGTGTAATATATTACAATTTAAAAGAGCTTTTCTATTTGAATATATTTTAAATGTATTTTATTCCTGTGATGCAAATCAGAACTTTTGAACAGTATTGTACTCCAGTAACTATTTTGTGCTTTATTTGTTCATGCGTCTACCAGGAAGTCACTGGATAGGTGTACCAGGAGAACTCCGCGGCTATGAAAAAGCTCATCAGTTGTATGGAAAGCTGCCCTGGGCCAAACTATTCGAGCCCTCCATCAAGCTGGCACGAGAGGGCTTCCCCATGCCAGCCTACCTCTCTTATTTCTTGAAGCAAGATTTAATTAAAAAACTGATTCATGGCACTGAACTCTGGTAATGTATCTTCTCCAAACAAACACATACACACCATCATGTACACTACTGTTTGTTATGACTGACATCTCAATGCAATAGTTTATTTAAGGGGACAAGTATGATGAACCTTGACGAGCATTCTTAACGATCAATGTCAAAGAAGTAGGTTATGACTTAGCCGCAGGCAAACCGCAAGAAATATAAGAGCTCTTTTATTGTTGTGTAATAAGAAACTTTCTGCTGAATGAATCAAAGCAGAATTGAGACTATCTCCAGTTTTCTATTAAATACCATTTTTGTCTATTGTAAAACATAATTTGCTGAATTATACACTGTAACTCACTAAATATGTGTGTATATATAATAATGTTTTTTTTTTAAATAGTTAATACTTATATTTAGCAAGGATGCATTAAATTAATCAAAAGTTACAGTGAAGATATGTATAATAATTTACTAAAGATTTCTATTTAAAATAAATGCTGTTCTAACTTTGTATTTATCAAATGTGACCCTGGACCACAAAAGCAGTCATAAGTAGCAGGGGTATATTTGTAGCAATAGCCAAAAATACATTGTATGGGTCAAAATTATCCATTTTTCTTTTATGCCAAAAATCATTAGGACATTAAGTAAAGATAATTTTCCATGAAGATATTTTGTACATTTCCTACAATAAATATCAAAACTGATTTTTTTTATTAGTAATATGCATTGCTAAGGACTTCATTTGGACAACTTTAAATGCGATTTTCTCAATATTTAGTTTTTTTGCACCCTCAGATTCCAGATTTTCAAATAGTTGTATCTCGGCCAAATATTGTCCTATCTTAACAAACCATACATCAATGGAAAACGTATTTATTCAGATGATGTATAAATCTCAATTTCAAAAAATTAACCCTTGTGACCGGTTTTGTGGTCCAGGGTCACAAATAGTTCTGGAAAAGAATATTAAACAGCACAAAATTCATCATTGCTATCTCTATTTTAAAATGTTAAAGTACTGGACACTATGACATTTTTTTAGGACTGTGTTTTTGCTCAAATTAATGCAGCTCTGGTGAGCATTATTATATAAACATTATATATATATATATATCTCAAATAAATTACAGCATTTCATTCAGTAATATAGGTATTACAAGAAATACTACCATGATGTTTACGGGGTTTTTTTTATTACTGTTACTGTTTTGGGGTGAAATATGACCCAGACATCTTGGCAAGTTTCATCACATTTTGTTTCACCTGGCTGGCTTATGTTACTTGAGTTGCTTTCTGTCTGGTTTTATAAGCTTATTTTTTTGTATAGTGAACTGTTCTATAAGGACAAGACAGTTCTTAGCCCAAGGGACACCCTCAAGTTCCCTCAGCTGGCAGAAACCATGAAAACTATCTCCAAAGAAGGAGCCGATGCCTTTTACACTGGAAAAATCGCCAAGGACTTGATACAGGATGTACAAGAGAGAAGTACGAACTGTTTGTATATAAATGGCAGTCGCTGTAATCAGAACAGATGTAGTGCTTCTGAAATACACAGTTTTCATGTTTTTGGTTTTTCCAGATGGAATTTTATCATTAGAAGATCTGAGCACT